GATCGTCTTGTTGATCAAGTAGGCGCTGTCGTCGTCGTAGAATGTGGAAATGTTGGCAATCACCTCTTCAAAGTTTTCCACACTACTTCCAATGGGCACTACCGTCGACAATAGGCCAATCGGAGCCGGTGTCAGCAGGGCAATAACCCAGATGAGACCGATAAACCGATGTACATGTTNGTTGTAGCGGTCCAGGCTTATCAGCAGCAGTGAATAGGCGGACACCAGCACTGAGACAGCCTGCGCATAGGAGACCAGGCCGCAGAGGACCCGTCCAAAGGGCCACGAGCGAAAGAGGAGATTGGAGGCGGAGGTAGGGCCAATGCAGAGAACGCTCATCAACAGATCTCCTAGAGCAAGATTGAGGATGAAGAGGTTGGTAACGGTCCGCATTGATGGCAGGCGAAGAATCAGGTAGAGGATAACCAGGTTGCCGCCGATAGCCACCACCGAGATCAAGGAGTAGGTAATGATGTACAGCACTGAAAGGGGCGATATGCGAGAACTGCTAAAGGCATTTTCTTCCTCAATCAGCATTGATGTCATCTGAGGACTAGAGACTTGAGCTTCACTTGAGGTGGAGATAGCGTCCATGTTTTTGAGTCAAAAAAATTAAAATGCTGTTGCAAAAAGAGATTTTATAAAGTTGATCAGGTACTTCCAAAAAGGGCAAAGTGGAGAGGATAATGATGAAGCTGTTGAAAGGCCGCTGAATGTAGTATGTTTTATGTTTTGGCTTTTCTTCATTTTTTTGCTGTTTGCTTTTGTCTTTATTCTGTTTTTCGTATTTTTGTCTATGGTAGGCAAGTTCTGGACGCCAACAGCAACTGACTAACTTTTTTCTCTTTTCAGACCACCGTTTTTTGGCTGGGTAACATTGATTTTTTATTCTATTGTGGCCGGGGTGGACACACACAGAAAAACAGGCACGCAGACACAGAAAACGCATCAATTTTAATTTTGAAGAACTAATTTTGTCATAAGAAAAAGACAGAAACAAACGGCAAAAGTCACCATCACCACTAATAATAAGTTTTTATTGTCACTTTTTGTATATCTGTTGTGCCTGTTTTTAATTTTTCCTTTGTTTGCAGTAGTTTAGAAAAGATAGAGAAAAAGAAAATATGTCGACAAATAGACAACGGAAATTGACGCTGGACATGTGGTGTGTGAAGATGGCGTGTTAGTTATGGCAATGATCAAGTGAACAGAAACAGCAATGGCAATCATTCAAAACTTTTACAGATAAGAAAATAAACTGACAAAAAAGAGATTCACTTTGTTTTTGCCTTATTTGGCAAATGGGTGAGGGAAATAACTCCGCCGCTTGACCAGACAAAAAGTTTGCTTTGTGAAGTTGCCGTAGTATTTGCGCAGTCGACCACTTAACAAATCAATTTAAAAATTTAAACAGCAGACAAACACTGCGATGATAAAAAGTTGATGTTAAAAAAACTTTTTTTTAAAAAAAAGATTACATCTGTTTATATGTTATCTGTGGGTGTAGTGTAGTCATCGTTAAATCTTCAATCGGTCAGAATCAAGATAACAAAAATCTGTAAAAAATGAAAAATAGTAAAGCCGTTTTCCGATTTGATTTGCTTCTTTTGTTTATTGATGCCAAATAAAAATTGACTGTTGAAGTTGATGCGGCGGTAGTGACGGTCTTCTGAAGACTGGAACAATAGAGAGCAGAAGTGCTTTTTTAGTTTAGAATAAAAGAAAAGGATGCGGTAATGTAATCTGCTTTTTGTTTTTTACTTATTTGTTCTTTCTCAATATATACTGCACTTCACTTCACTGCAAGAGAATCTTTATTATCTTCTTTTTCCTAAAGTCAGAAAAAATAAACTTCAAAATTGTGAATTTTAAATTAACTTATCGAGGGAGAAGAGCCTTATTTTTAATGTTTAATAACAACGATGAGCTGGAGGAGTTAAAAGTCAGCAACAGCAAGTACAGTTAACAAATACAGTTAAGTGTTTTGCTCTGCCAGTGCAAAAGAATAAATTTTTTGTTTTTTGTCCAACAACATTGTTCTGGCAACATTACCAATGTTAATGAACAGTCTTAATGTGTGCTGCAGTTAAAAAAGCAGCAATTGAACAGGTTGAACATTGTTTTAAACTTAAATTAAATTTAATTAAAACATTAAATATTAAACAACTAAATTAAAAAGTGCCATTGACTTCTGCTGCCATTTGATTGCAAAACAAAAAACACAAAAACTTTTGAGCATCATAAAAATATTTGTTTTTTTGTTCAGAATAGAACTTTGTTATCAGAATTGCCCTTTTGTTAGTTGCAAGTTGGTAGGCTCAATGTGAAAAATAATTAACAAACAGTCATTTAGTATTTTACTTTTTTGTTAATTGCAAAATAAACAAAAAACAAGTAAATAAAAAAGAAAAATTGTTTCCATGTGTATGAAGTTAATTAAATAATATTTTTGTTATTAATGCCAATTAGTTGTTATTATTCTAAATGCATTAATAACGTTTTTTAAATGCTGTTATTTTAACTAAACTAAAATTTTTTGTTTTGAGTATGTATAAAAAATTTAGTAAAAGCAACAATAATTTTTTTATTAAAAACTGTTTTCTAATTTTTAAAACATTAAAATTGCTGCAAAATATGTTAACACAAACACAAGTTTAAACCAATTTGGCCTTATTTATTAAAACTATAAACAAATTAAACTTTTAAACAGTTAAAAAAATAATGCATTTTTGTTTAAAAATAAAAAGTTTAATTGGAAAAAGTAAATCGATTTAAAGTGCAAAATAGCAAAAACTTGCTATTTAATTTTTTTATAAAATAAAAAGTTGATATTCCCAAATGAACAACAAGATAATGCAAAACA